AATAACTTTATTGTCATCAGTCATAAAATAAATAACTTTAATGCATCAGTCATAGGTAGAACTTCAGCATCCAGATTCTTGGGGGCAATCTGCTGACTCTACTTAGAGAGGGCTATAAAGCAGTATATAAGTGTTACTGCTATTGCTACCCAGCCACAGAACCACCACTTCTGGCTTCTAACAGCAAATTTCTTATTGGAGTGTGCGAAAACATGTACATGATATTCAGTGGTGGGATTCAAATAATTCAACAACCGGTTCTCTGCCCTAATGATTTCTTCCAACAACCAATTCACCAAACTGCTCAGAAAGTTAACAACCGGTTCTCCCGAAGTGGTGCGAACTGGCTGAATCCCACCACTGATGATATTGCTTCTTTCCTGGTTTCACAGGCTGCTGACCACAGGTGACAATCTCTAGGAAACACTTATTTGGTTCAAGGTATTTGCCAATAGGTAAATACCTTATTACAGTCTGTTATCTTAGCAAAACTAGTTTTTACATAAAAGTATGTCATTGGCTAGCGTCACATTCTCTCTGAAGTTTGGGGCTCTGCATTTGTCTCATCTAACTAAAGTCCAGAGGGCAGGCTGGAGCAGTTAGCATTGCTTTTACATTATTTTTCCCAGAGTGCTGAGAAGAAAAGCTTTTGCTGAATTTTCAGCAAAGAACTATTTTGTTTTTCCTAAAATGCTTCTGAGCAATCTGGCATTCTCAGAAAAATATAGAAATAGTTGGAATTTTAGGCAATGTATAACTCCATTGTCCACCACTGCTTTTGCCTTTGATGCAAAAACATATACAAGTAGTCCTGGACTTACAACAGTTCATTTAGTGATGGTTCAAAGTTACAAAGTCACCGTAAAAAGTGACATGACCATTTTCCCCACTTATGACCATTGCAGCATCCCCATGGTCACATGATCAAAATTCAGACAGTTGGCAACTGACTCATGTTTATGACCGTTGCAGTGTCCCAGGACCATGTGAACCCCTTTTGCGACCTGACGAGCAAAGTCAACGGGGAAACCAAATTCACTTAACAACTGTGTTAATAACAACTGCAATGATTCACTTAACAACTGTGGCAAGAAAGGTTGTAAAATGGGGCAAAACTCACTTAGCAAATGTCTCACTTAGCAACATAAATTTTGGGCTCAAATTTTGGGCTCAATTGTGATAAATTGAGGAATACCTGTAATAGGTTTGAAATCTTTGAAGCTAAGACAAAACTAAAAGATGGAATGCTATTTAGTATTTTTCATTCTGTTGGCAAAGTTCTGCATTTTCTTTCCAAATGATATTTATACAACTACCCAGTTGCTAATGTCTGGTCTTTCTTCCATATGGAAAGTATTGTCCTACAGTATTCTCTATGCTTTCAAAACTATACTTAATATTGATGTTGTTTGCAGTTTCCAAGCAAACTGCTCTTCTCTGAAAGTAGGTCTTCTTATGGATCAAGTTTGCAACAGAAATGTTATGCAGTTTCTTAATATCAAAATTTTCTACACATCTGAAAATTTTGCTGTGAGTGATAAATCTTTAGATTATTTTTGCATTGTGAAGACTGTCATATGTCAAAATCTCCCAGTGACATTCCTCTTTATCAATTCACAGAATCCCCAAGAATGATAGCATTCAACCTTTGTCACACCTGACATGTAGAATGGTCACACAAGGAAAGAATATAGAGTTTTACCATTCCAGAATGGGAATAATGTTGCTAGGATTTGTATTTTTGTATTTTGTTCTCATCAACCTAAAGTAGCAGCGGATAAAGCTACGTTTGAGTGAACTAGGGACATGAAGAATTGAAGCAAGAGAAATACTTTACACATTGAAATATAGTTTTAGCCCCAGAGTGAGATTTGGCATTAAGATTGGATGAAAAGAAGCAACAGGCCAGGCAAAAGTCAATGGACCACATTGAGGGACAAAAGACATGAGAGTTTGGAACATTTAAATTAAAATACAAATGAAAAGTGCAGTAGTTAGTTTTTAAAATAAATATGAGCTCACTTATTGCTTACCATGACTGAATTTTGATTGGTCATTTAATCATTAAAAAGCCATGTATTTGTGAGACAAACAGATGATAATATAGCTCAAAAGTCAATCTCAACATACATATAACTGTAGGATATTTCTTTTTGCGTAACGTATATTATCCAGTTCAAATTATGTGTTTAATAATTTGGTGTAATGAACAGGTAGGCAACTCAATCCAACATTCCTGTATTTGCATGCTGGCAATTACTTTTAATACAATTTAGACATGTAGGTCTTGAATATGAGTTCATTAACTGTTATTACCATCAGTTAAACATTTGAATCTTTTGCTCCTGGCCAAATCCACACTTGTTGCTCTAAGACATTACAAATTAAGACATTACATTAAGACATTGCAAAATAATAGTGATCCTTAGAAAAAGTAATTGTGAAGATCAGCCAGGCCGGTTTTGAATAGAATGACACACCCAGTTAGGGGAGAGAATGCACTATTCTCTACTCAATGATGCACCTAAAGTACGATTTAAGTATTTAACTATTATGAGCCTAATACAAGGGCGATACTGCAGACATTTCTTGCATTCTTCTATTATTCAAAATATATATTAATGATCAACCTGTTGGTCCTGATATATTGTCCTTCGTCTATGCTGATGATTTGGCACTTACCGCTTAGAGAACTAACTTTGAGGAGGTGGAAGACAAGTTTATTCTGGCTCTTAAGAATATGTCAGAATACTATAATGAGAATGGACTAAAACCTAATCCATCAAAAACTAATATCTGTGTATTCCATCTCAAAAACAGGCAGGCTAGCCTCTATATTATATCTGGGATATGTGGCACATTGTGAGATGCCACGTTACCTCGGCATTATACTGGATCAAACATCAACCTTTAAAAGACATTGTTGCAATTTAAAGCAAAAGATCTCCACCCGTAATAATCTCCTCATAAAGCTGGCTAGAACTACTTGATGTGCCCACCACATTATCTATGAATGGCCACCCTTGTATTGTGTTACTTGGAAGAGTACACCCGCCTCACAGATGGACAGGACATTTAGTGATACATGCCACATTGTTACTGGATGTCTGCTCCCCACTTCACTAGGCAAACTATTTATCTTGGTGGGAATAGCCATGCCAGGTGTTAGGAGTGTGGCACAAGATGTGAAATAAGGAAAGGTATTACATGATCTGACGCATCCATTATTTGGCCAAGTACCCCTTACAAAAGAAATTGAAGTCAAGAAGGACCTATTTAGATTGTGTCAAGGAGATTGTTACTACATCTCAAACAGAACAATTAAAAAGATGGAAACTTCAAGATAAACAACTTTATAACTGGATAGAACCACTTGAGGAGTTGCCTAGAAGTATATAGGAGGAGTGGATGATTTGAAAATGTTTAAATAGTGCATGGTTTGGCTAGAACTAAAGACCACATGGAAAAATGGGGGTTCTTCCAGAGAACAAGGATATTTACTGTGAATGTGGCATTATTAAAACCATCCATCTTTCACAGTGTCTCCTAGAGCCAACATGCACACAGAATGACTTACTGGTCAGAAATATCCCTGCCATCAGTATGGCCTAGCATTGGGCTAGAACTATATATATTTATATATTTTATTAAAGTTTTTAATATTTTTCAATATAAATTAATACTTTCCCCCTTTCTAGTTCCTGCATTTCCGACATGAGAGAAGAAACATTGCAGAGGCTGTGTTTGCTACTTGTGTCAAACATTGCAAGGACTCTATTGAGAGGGCTGAAAAATTAATGAGAAAGATAGGAAATGTGTATGCTAGTAAATTCAATACCCACTCCAAAAATATTCCTAATTAAATGTGCAAGATTTCCTTAGCGTCTCACATTACCATACCATTTCCACATTCAGATTCTATTTCTGTGTTGATCACAGGTTACGCTTTACAGAGTGTATTCTATCTGGGCAATAAAAGTAAATTTCACTTGATGGTAGCAATGAAATATAATTGTTGCTGCAATTGAGTAATCATTTAGATTTAGACTTGAGTGACCTAGTTATGGCAAGTTTATTTTGGCTGAATTCAGAAACACTCTGTAAATGACCTATTCCTTGCACACATAAATCCAGATTGCAATGGAATCTCAACTTTGTTACCTATTAGATAGGTAATAACAGTCCAGTTCTTTCTACCTGGGTACTAAGCATTGGTAACAGACTTGATGGCGTCTAATACTCAATCAGTTAATATGTTAAGGAGTAGAAGTCTAGCTGAGATTTCCTAACATCAAGAGCAATTTTCTTTGTGGTTTTATACCATCAAGTCAAGATTAGCTTGAGTCTAAATTTTTAAAAGATGTTTTAAAACATTTTAAAAGAATTGGTGTGAGGGAAATGTCTGTAAATCAATGCTGACTTCAGGCAACTGCCTGAACAAGTCTCTGCAATTTTCTTGGCAACATTTTCAGATTTGCTTTGCCCTTATCCTTCTTCCTACATGGTCTCCCGGTTTTTAGCTTAGTGCCTTAAACCATTACACCAAACTATTTTTTTAAAGAGATTTAACGCTGTTATTTGTTGCTAATGTGACACTTTATCCAATGAATTTTTTTAACATTTAGTTTAATTAGTCTGTTCAGAATGCTGAAATCGAGTATTAATTAGAATGAATTATAATTCTGGGGATCTTTTTCATATCAAGAGTCTTTAAAATGACATGCTCAATGCACACAAGTAATTTCTGTTTTATTTTCTGCAACAGAAATTGTTTAATTGGAGGATGCTAGGGACATCAACCCTTTTTTCCTGAACTTCTGGAACATTTGCATGATGCAGCCCAAACATAGTTGTATTAGATTACTATACTTTTACACCAATTTTCTATGAGGCTATAAAATATATGCATAGTGTATCAAATTTATTTTAAAAAGGAACAGTTGCAGTTATTTAAGCAATAGAATGTGAATGATTTATTCCATCAGACATTTCAATGCAAATGAGTGTCTAAGTACAAAGCTTTATTGAAATTGATTGACAGGTTATTTAAAAATCTGCTTCAAGACTGGAATACATGCGGTAGCTAAGGAAAAGCAGTCGCATAAGCCAAGAGCTGTTTCACAGTTAATAGTAGCATTTTAAGTTGTGCCTTGGAAAAAGGGAACCTTCTCTGTGCCAAATAGCTAATGTGTCACTGAGCGTGAACAAGAGCACCAGCGCCTTGGCCATAGCCAAATCCTTTGGGGCCAAAGTTCTTTGCATAACAGCCTGAAAAGACAAAGAATAAACTATTAGTTCCATTCAACTATAAATATGGTATTTTTAAAAAATATAATCAGGTGCAGAAATATTAGTTTACAATGTAGTTTTACACTTGCTGATGTGAACCAATCTCCCTACATGTGTATCTTGTGCAGATGTTACATAGAATATATATTATATAGAGATCTCTCACCATTCAATAAAGCTGTCTCATATGACAGTGACTGGAGCATACTGTCACTTACATTTTCATCTGCTTAAACTAAATCAGTGTGATAAATGACATTAAAGTAATAGTAATCCCATCTCCTTTTTAGATTTAAAATTACACATCTTGCACCAGAACAATTCTAATATTTTACCTTACCTTTGCAATAGATTTCGCCCTCCTTCTCTGTCAGAGTTGTTGATTCAAGGCTTTTACCACACTTGGCACAGCGAAAACAATTTTTGTGCCAAGGCTAAAAAGAAAACAAACTATTTCAGACTTCTGTGTTTTATCATTTTCAGTAAATGCACATGGAGAAAATCTATGTGGTCACTAAGAGGACTTGATACCAACTTGATGGCACATAATCAATCAATCAATCAAGTCTTCTAGAGATAATTATGTTTTTCATGTTAGATTGCTTCTTTTTAGTAGAAAGCATTTACCACAGATACAAATTCATTTGGGAAAATGAATTAGTTCCCATTCCCAGATGTTCTTTTTTACAAAATTCATTTTAAAGCAAACAAAAGCAATCCAATTCTAACAGGTCAAGGTCATCACTTTCAATTAAATCACCAAGCAAGTCCAGAATAGTTTGCCAGGGCATTTGCAAACTATTGCATATCACCTTACCTTTCCAGCTCCTATTACTTTCTCAGCTGCATACACAGAGTCACCGCATCTGGAACATTTTTCTGCCCCTCCAAATTTCTGAGCAAATTTTGAAGTATTCGGACTTGTTGTTGGTCGATGAGAAGGTATGCTAGAATGAAAAGAACTGCTGAAATGAGTGCATTTCTGAATAAGCAAAGAACAAGTAGGCTAACAGGGTGCAAAATCATTTTATTTCTTCCCCTAAGAGGAACTATAGCTCTACAAAGAACCACGGCAAAGGAAGAGTATATTGTTGAAATCTAGCTGCCTTTATTGACCCCAGGAGGGCCATAAGTCGACTTCAATTGTGACAAGAGAAAAAAGGAATCTTTAGATCTTGAACAAAATGGGCAGCAAAGGATATAACACATTGATCTCTTGACATAGTTCAGTAAGTCTTTCCTCAATAATGCTTTGGTTATTATTGTTACTAAAGTTGTCTGTTGCCTCTGTGATCAGAAAAGGCAAGCTAATACATATTGGTTTGACACAAGAGGAAATCACTGCAGCCAAAGTTGTAAGCTGAAGAGGAAGAACATACAACCTTATTCTTCCAGTCGGAAGCCACGATTTGTGTTGCATTGAATTGAATTATAAGATTGATCAATCTAACATTCATGTTTAATATCTTAACACGATTCAACCAGATAGAAGTTTACTTCTTCCTCACAGTGTTTCATCTGATCATAAAACATTTTAGTCAATAGCAGGGATTGATCTTGGCAAAAAGATAATCTTACTTTTTTGAGCTTTCCTCTCACAGGATGTAACAATCCATTACATACAAATAAAAAAGAACTGGCCATTTTCTAGAAATGCTGGTCTCTTGAACAGCCTCAGCTCATGAACGCTCAAATACAGAACCAGAGTGATCTTTTTATTCCATTTTTATTTAAGGTGGTCTTGATAGTTTGTATTTAATAGGTAATACATCTAATGTCTCAAGATAGACCTAAGGCAAAGAGATGGTTATTTTCTACATCCAGTTATTTGCTACAGTTCAAACTGCAGCCAGCTAGAGGTAAATAACTGCTGTACCTACTTGTCATGTTTTATGCCAAGCCTTTCTCCTCTGTCCATATTGAGAGTGCCTGCTCCTTGCCCATAGCCATATCCTTTGGGGCCATATTTTTTCCCATAACAAGACTTGCAGTATATTTCTTCATCATGCATGGCCACAGTTGTGCTATCCAGGTTTTTCCGGCATACCACTAAGGAAAAAATTAGATACATTTATTACCTAAAAGTAAGTTTCAGTAGCTATGTCTACTGAAAACTGAGGGGGCTGGTTCTTGGAATAACAGTATTAAATTCTGTTCTATTAATGCATTCTGTCCTCTTTGGCTTTTATGATTTGCATTTGCAGAAGGGAAACTTGATTAAGTTTAATTTGTGAGGCTATGAAAGAAACATTTTTTTCTTTGTTTTAAACCTCATAGAACTATTTACATCAGTGCCAATAAGTTTAATCATGCAAGAGTTTCCAAGAACACGTTACCTTTACAAAACATCTACAACTTTATGCCAAACAAGGACTGTTTTCCTAGCTCTTTCATTAATATTTTTGTATGAAACAGCTAAAATATATAGACAGGCAATTTAAATCCATGTCCATACTAGCTTATTACTTTTTCCTCTTTTAGATGTATATTGCTTGTTTAGTTGGCTGGGAAATAAGCAAGTATCTCAGTATTAATGAGCAAATAAAAACAGTTTTTATACAATCACTTACAGTTCTGCATTATACACATTTTATGAAAATTAAGAGTAAAATAGTTCAATTTAGACTTGTATTGCTTTGAGTATTTGATCAAAAACTCTAGAATTCTAGATTCCAGAATAAATAGTAATGGACCATAATGATTGCTCAGCAAATTAAGATTCCTCCACAACTAAGATTATAAAAGCTGAAACACTGGCATTATAGTCAAACCAGATATTAATACAAATGAAGATCCATTCTAAATTTTCAAGCCAAGGGCATGGAAATAAGTGGTGTGAAAGAATTAACTCTTTATGGAATTAGATCTGTCTCTAACTCCTTTCCTCAACTAGGTTGTTGTTGGCAAAATTTAGTGAAGACACTTTTCCATTGTGATATCCTCTCTGGAAATCATTTTTCTACATTAAAACTTAGCTGTATCACTGCAGTAACTTTTAGATTTTGGTATCAGTTTTTGTTCAGGTACTTAAACTGGATTCCATGCTTCAGTTTAAATTATTTTATATAATACCGTAATTGTGTACAGTATCAATATGTTTCAGACTTCCCTAAGACACTATCATGTTTCCAGGTTTGAAATTCATTGGATTTACCAATTATAAGTTTAACAGGGAAACTCTTGAGCTCAATTCCACACTTAGAGAAGCTAAATTATGTATTCCTTCATCACTGAGTATATTCTGTATATTTTAGAAATGTATTCCTTCTTGATGTTCAGTTTTGTAAAATGTGAAGAAGCAATCCTGAAAGCAGACTATAAAACTTGCTTCTATTTAAATGTACCTCATAAAAATTCCAAATTCAACTTTCAGTTTAATTGGTTTTTTTCCTTTTAGTTTATATCAGTTACAATTATCATTTATCAAATGCTGATGAGATGTCATGAACAGTTCTGTTCTGTACTGTACTGTTCCTGACACCTCATCAGCCAATTGTATGAAATAATTAGAAGATACAAAAATTCAGCATTTTAACAATCTGCTAAACTGAACAATCATATCAACTCTGTTTTTAAAGAGTCTACAACTTCTGGCAAAACCCAAGAGAATTTTGTCTCCATTAGGCTGAAATTAGAAAATCGACTACTGTAGATCACATCATTAATTTTTTTGATATAAGTATTGAATGGAATCAAGCTAGTGAATAATTTCTCAAAATGATATTTAAAATGTAGATTTCTAGAATAGCGTACCAAATGAGAACTGTATCTTGATGGAATAATTCTGTATTCTGCTAGTACATTTTTGTCAACAGAATAAAGCTGAGTTAATAAGCTTTATATTTAAAGTTGTCTACATGGATCAAAGTGACAATCTTGTGTATCATTAGCAGGTATGGTGATATATTTAAAAATTATACTCTTTTAAACCTGCCAATGTTAGTCAGAGCAAAATGACTATCTGAAAGCATTCTTTTAACCGTACATTTGTTCTGCAAAGTTAAGAGTCTGCATGAATCACACAGGAGATATGGAATACAAACTTGCAAAATACAACCTTATATCATTTTACATCCTGACCTTTGTTCTTTGGAGCTTAAGGTGGCAACTGTATAGCTCAATGCTAAATTTAGGTTCTTGAGATTTATAATCTTATGATCCATACTGCTCAAATACTGGTAATTCATTCAAAAAGAGTTTCCTAAGTACTTACTACAAAGAAAGCAACATCTGTGGAAGCTTCTCCCATCACACTGGACTTCTTCCGCATGGTATACTATTCTGCCACAGGCTCCACATTTGTTTCCACCTCCCCAGTTTGGCATTTTGAGTCTGCAGAATAAATGTTAACAATTAACAATAGAATAGTATTAGAAACAGAAATAGAATTGAACTTGATTGTCACTTTAAATATACACTAATCAGCATACATTAAAATGAAATTTAGTTGCATTCAACTCTCAAAAGATAACTATTATGCATTATACCCACACACACACACACACATATGACATTGAGAAACATCACAGTCTAGTTCAAATGTATACATGAGGGGGAGGAAAAAGCATCCTATGAATTTACAAGATGGATGGCATACGGAACAAAGCTGTTACAGAATCTAGTAGTCCTGCTATAAATACTTTGAAACCTCCTCCCAGAGGGGAGCAACAGAAACAGGCTGTGAAGTGGGTGTGTGGGGTCTCTAACAATGCTTCGAGCTTTAAGCACATAGCTTAAAATGTGCTCCCACTAAAGCCTTTCTGCCCTAACCCCCAAGCATTATAATCCATGCTGTAAACTGGTTTAAGGAAGTGCTGACCATACTTCCAACCCTTATTCAGTTTCAGTAATAGAGAAAGTGGGTTCTGTTTACAAAAAACATTGAGGGAGGAGTGATGATCAATATCTTCTCTGGTGCCAATTAATTACTGGCTGCTGAAGACCCACTTGATAGATGGGCAAAGATGAATCCATGGGAGACAGAGGCTTTAGTCGCATTTGCCAACACTGGTAGCTTGTCAGCAGAAGAGTGGTAAATTTGTCTCCTATTCATTTGGAAGACTGGTAAACCTTTGTCCAATAATGAGTGCAAATGTTAGGATGAAGGAACAGTGCTGGATGAAGCTTCCAGCCATCCTCCACTCAATTGTTCTTTCAATACAGAGGCTCACCAGTATTACAGGCATCTGGTAGACATGTTTACTGTTCTTTCTGCTGCTTAAGTGAAGAATAATAGACTAGACTGAAAGTGAGGTTCAGTTTATGATTTACTTTTCCTGTAGAACTTATATAGAGGAGCTGCTAAGCAATGGTTGCTTAGATGTAAACATGATTGGAATATGGCTAGGATTAATAATTAATCCCAAATAAAATATATTCACCCATTTGTTGCATTGCAGCACATGCATAATTTAGTAGTAGCATGCCAGTAGTGCTATATTTTTGAGAATCTTAGATAACAGCATAGTTTTTGCATTATGCAATGATCAAAAGGAAGTGGAAAATGACAATGTGCCATATACTTCAAGTACTTGTACTTTTTCATAACTTCACACTAAAAATGATATATTTATCCTATAGTTTTGTTTTACAGTATTACTCTTCAAAAACTATTCAAAGTATGAGCCCAAGACAGGCAAACGTGTTTCAAAATCTTAACGTTAGAAGACTCCCACATTTTGTGGTATCTCCTAAAGATTAGCAGAAGCTTGTCATTCCGCAGTTCATTTTGACAACAAAGTAACCATAAACAATTTTTCCTTTTGTTTACAACACTAATAATTCATTGATATTATTACAAATAATTAAAACTGGTGTTCTTGCAGATTTGCCATTTTTATTTGGAATATTTGTTACTTTTTTTTAGCAAGATATCACAATCTCTGTAATTCTTCAGAGTCTAAGAATCTAGATATTTAAAATTGTAGAGATCCCTTAATCTGCCAACCTAGTAGTTCGAAAGCATGTAAAAAATGCAAGTAGAAAATAGGGACCACCTTTGGTGGGAAGGTAACTGTCAGGTTTCGATGCTATCTCAAAATAAATGAATTTCCAAACAGCACTGACAGTAACAGCGTTCCGTGCGCCTTTGGTGTTTAGTCATGCCGGCCACATGACCACGGAGACATCTTTGGACAGCACTGGCTCTTCGGCTTTGAAACTGAGATGAGCACTGCCCCTTAGAGTTGGGAATGACTAGCACATATGTGCAAGGGGAAAGTTTACCTTTACCTTTTTAATCTGCAGCAGTGTTTCACAACCTTGGCCATTTGAAGAGGTGTAGACTTCAACTCCGTTGAGGTCCACACCTCTTCAAGTGATCAAGGTTGAGAAATACTGATATATAGTATTCCCTGGATGGTTTTACAAATAATTCACATTTTCATTTTTGTGACACAGGCAAATACATGTTAGGATTTAGTGCTCCAGTCTGTCTTGGTGTGTTTCAGAAAACTGTTCTTCATGAAGCAATTTAGAAATACTATGATTGCTCCTTATGGTGTTTCACTGCAGAATCCATATTTATGTTTCACCTTTTAAAATTAATATAGTATGACAACTTGAAGAGTTTTACATTAAATGCAGTTGGCCCTCAAATTTCATGTAATACATCTCACTGCTTGATTTATATACAAGCTTCACACTTATAGTAATGTGTAGTCTGTTTCCATTTTAGACTTGCCTTTGGTTTAGCATCATAAATGACTTGTCAGACTTTTCTGATTTAATCAGAAAATTGTTATCACCTTCTATAAATAGACAATGTCCAAGATGTAAGAGACAACCAAGATGACGCATGCTTTAGTCAATGAACTATTATAATATTGTATCCAAGTTCTGCGTTACCATTCACCTAAAAAGTCAAACTCCAACAGCATTCTGTCAAGCAGCATTTAGTACAATTCTGCATGAAACAAAAGGACAGAATTGGAAACCCTTTCAGTGGCATACATAGAATCCTTTAGAAGTATTTTTTTATTTTGTCTTTGGTGCTGCCTGATTCCAGACTACTGACAGTGTAAAAAACAAGACAAATACAACAAAATAAATAAAAATACAGAAAGGGAAATATAGAAGCAAATCCAGAAAACTTTATCATAGTTGTCATAAGATATGACATCTTATGACATAAGATAAACGTATCTAACAAGGAGATTCTATTCCCTGTATCTCAAGGCCTGGGAAAACATCAGGGCGTTTATAGCTTTCTGGTATACCATCATGATGGGACCTCTCTGGATCTCAGGGAGAACCTCATTCCAGAGGACAAGTGCCACTTCAAAAAAAGTGTGCTTCCTGGGTGCCAGTCTAAGAGGACCTAGCATGTGCCCACTCTGTTGGCTCCTACCAGCTTGACAGAAATCACAGGAGACAGGCAGTTCTTCAAATGACCAGGTCCTATGCATATAGATTATTATAAGTGATAATCAGCACTTTGATTTGCACTTAGAAGCATTCTGGCAAGCAGCTCACAAATCAGGACTATTATGTGGGCATGCTGAGAAGGCCCAGCACTGTTCATTCTGCTGTATTATGGCTCAGTTGAAATTTCCAAGTGATTTTCAAGGGCAACGTCCTGTTGTTTTGGATAATAAGATGGGAAGCATATAAATTTAATAAATAAATAACAGTTGAACCGTGATGCAACAAAGGTATCAGTGATTGTCTATAAAGTCTCCCAATTCAGGAAGGGTTGCAACAAGTGCACCACTTGAAGTTGTGCAATGGTTGCCTTGGCTATTGCCACTCCTTCAACAGGAGTGGTAAGTCAAGGAATACCTCCAGATTGCAGATCACTTCTGAATGGGGAAGTGCAACTCACCCAGGAGTGAGGATAGAAAAATCTCACTTTAGGTGATCCTAAGAACCATAGCTCTTTGGTTTTAGTAGAATTGAGCCAAGATCAATTCCTTCCCTTCCAGGCCCACACATATTGCAGGCACTGAAACATTACTTCAACAACCTCACTTGGTTGTCCTGGAATTAAAAGATATTATTGGTTATCATCAGAATACTGAAATTAGACCCTAAGATGGCAGATTCCCCAACAGTTTCATGTGAATGTTGAACAAGAGGAGAAAGCATTGAACCTTGTGGCATTCCATAAAGGAGAGGTATGAGGAGCAACCTCTTCCCCTCCTCGCCAACACTGACTGAAACCAGCCTTGAAGGAAAAAAAGAGAACCACTGCAATATGGTGCCTCCAATTCCCAAACCCTGGAGTCAGTCCAGGAGGATACCAGAATTGACAGTATCAAAAGCTGCTGAAATATCAGGGATGGATTCACTAACTGCATTCCAGCTTTGCTCCAGATCAACAACATGTGTGACCAAGACCACCTCTGTACTGAATCTCAGCCTGGAACTCAGATTAGAATGAATCTAGCTTTCTTCACAGTTATCTGCAATCATACCATCTGGTCAACAACTGTCTCTAAAAAGCGAAGGTTGGTAACTAGAAGGTAATTGATAGTTGGGTCCAAGATTAGTCTTTTGAAGATGAAAAACACCACCACATTCTTCAAGGTGGAAGGCACCACTTCTTCTCTCAGAAAGGCTGAAACCACCAGATACTCCCCATTGCTTGGCTGCCTTAATGATCTCAGAGGAATTTGGGTCCAAGAATCAAGTGACCAAACAAATAGTGCAGGGGCCCTTATCTGCTTCTTCAATACTTAATATCATAAATTCATCCCAGATAATACCAAAGCCCTCAGCACTTCTGCCAGACATGCTTAGTTGGAGTCCAACATATTGCAGATTTGAGCAACTTTAATCAATTATCCAAAATAGCCTGTGGCCCCTGCCTGGCAGAGAAAGGTCACCCTAAAAATGATTGCTTTTAATCTGACATATACAATCATTTAACATTCTAGCATGTATTCATGTTTTGAAAAAGAAAGTTTCTCCCAGAAGAACAAGATAGTATAAAAAGTGTGCCAGATTTATATTATTTGTTATGAAAAATGACAAAACTGATTCTGGTCATACTTGTAGGATCTAAACTTTGGGATTAGCCCTCTAACTCAATCCTCAATGGCACAAAGAAACACACAGCAATTGAATATGAAAGGTAACCTTGTAACATAGTGAGTCACCAGTTCAGTTCTTTATAGTTTAATAGATAAGAAATAACTAGGCTCAGATTTTACATCATTCCATAGAAGAAAATGTAGATACCTGGAGAATGACAACACAGACAGGCTGTGTTCCCGTGACACTCAGTACCCATGGCTAATGGAATTAATAAGATTTTCTAGCCTTCTCACACCATACTGAACCATAAACTAATCACATTGAACCACAAACTGATCAACACATTTTAGCTTACAATATTTTGTGAATTCAGGCAAGAAAAATGTGTATTGTACCGATAAACTGTAAAACAATGCTTGGGAAAGAGAAAGATTGATTACATCTGAAACAATATCTTATTGAGTATTTGTTATTGTTCAGACTTCACTACTTGATGTTTTAGATCTAAGGCTCTATGAAAGTACAGGTAGTCTTTGATGTACAACCACAATTGAGCCCAGAATTTATTTTGCTAAGTGGGAAATTTGTTAAGTGAGTTTTGCCCCATTTTACAACTTTTCTCACTACATTTGTTAAATGAATCACTGCAATTGTTAAATTAGTAACATGGTTGTTAAGTGAATCTGGCTTCCCCATTGATTTTGTTTGTCAGGAGGTCACAAAAGGGGATCGTGTGACCCTGGGACATCACAACCGTCATAAATATAAACCAGTTGTCAAGCATCCAAATGTAAATCACCATGGGGATGCTGCAACGGTCATAAATGTGAGAAATGGCCATAAGTCACTTTAATCAGTGCCACTGTAACTTCAAATGGTCACTAAATGAACTGTTGTAAGTCGAGTACTACCTGTACTATATTAAATATCTTTAATCTTTAGCCAATGACAATCTTCATTTTCAGTTTTTATAATTATCTAAAGTTTTAAAGTACACAACCTAATAATAATGTAACATGTATCGGTACTTTGGCCCTAAATCTCAAAGGCTCTTTTAGAAAAGAAAATCAGTGCAAGGCATTTCATACATTGTAATGAGCTATAAAAGTATACAAGCTAATGTACTATATTTCTCTTAATATGGATTTTTATGTTATTCCATCTACTTCAAAAATGACTTGTTTACTAGTTCTATCTGCCTAAAAATGTGTTCAGGCCATGTTTTTTCCAAAGTTTGATAAAGTATTTCTAAAATAGGATGCTTTCATGATTGTAAAGCAAGATAAAATGTATTTCCATACTACACAATTTTACCTTGAATATACTCATCACAGTAAAGGCAAATAGGATAAAATAAGTTTTAATAAAATATCTAAAATTAGCTTCTATTATCCAAGCATTTCCATGCTATTTAACTCTCCAGCCTAGAAAATTTTCTATAGTCCAATTTGGAGGCTGTAGAACAAGTTCTGTGAATCAGATAAGACGGCTACATAATTTTTGGGATCTACCATAGGAAAGCAACAGCGTTAGACTTTCCATCTTTCCTCATTTTACCTTTATGAAAAACCTGTTCTGTGTGTTAAAGAGTAAGAATTCAATGTAAAAATAAAATAAAAAATATTTTGATGGATGAAACAGAATATAAATTGCTTGTTTGAGACTATTCAAGATTTCCTGAGAAGTTTGTAAATATTGCACTGACAAAATTCAAACAAAACTATTTTGCAATATAGATGACAGCGTCAGATTTACAAATCCATCCAACAATAGACAGCCATTTTCAGTAAACATTTAAAATTTTTGTTAGATTCTCAATGCGTTCTCATTCATTTTCAAGACAAGAATTTCCATTATTACAAGCTTTGAGGACAGGATAATCAACATCAGCAAGCCAACTACATAGACCAAGAGTGTCAAACTCATATTGCCACAGTGGGGTCATGTGATGTATATGGATCTTTTCCCCCTTCGCTAAACCAGGCGTGGCCAGAATGTGACGCATCCAGCCCATGGGCCGGGAGTTTGACAGCCCTGACATAGACTGTCAATGAATGTGATTAAGCTACATTACATGCATCAATTAGTTTTCTATTAAGAGGTTTACCACTCATATTTTTACTAAGGATCATTTAATGTAAAAAAAGTCTCACAAAAGAGAAATATGGGAATCTCCAGCAAATAGGCTGAATTTTTTTAAAAAAAGGGCAGCTATCCTGTAATCACTTCCATTTTAAATTAATATTTAACCCCAGTGGGAATCTATCATAAACCAATAAATCTCAAACATTTCCTTACTAGCACATCCACATGCACTAAAGGAGACTGTGTTTTATTGAGCTTTTAACATGTCTATTCCCAGTGATATAATCCAATATAATCTATTTTATATGAACAGTGCACCTTTTAATAGCAGTATGCTGGCAGACATAAACTTGATGAGCAACAGTTCATGAAAGTGGATGCCTTTTAATAAAATGTGTGAATCTGAAAAGGTGTTACTAAACTCTCAATTTTTAGCTAGAGGCTACGATTTCACATATAACCTGCTTTCTCATAAGCAACAGAGTTTACAGTGATTTCATTAATAGGATCAAGCTAAATTAGAAGACAGAATAGCTCAGAGGTCTTTTAGTCCAACCCGGTGATCAAACAGAAAACCTTATACCATTCTGGACCAATGGTTTGTCCCATCTCTTCTTTAAATTTTTGGTTTTTTCATTCCATTAAGCTATATACTCATAGCCTTTTCACAAAATACAGCTATCTTCAGGCCAGGATGTAATAGATTCCTTTAAGGAGATTACCATTTCTTAATTACAAATGACATAACTTTCCCCAAATACCTTCAGAATGGGAACCCAGCGCTTGATCTAAAGCCCAACCAAAACAAAAGTTCAGCATCCTCTAGCTTAGAGCAAGTCGGACCAGGGAGGACGCTGAGATCCTGCAAGCCTTTTTGGAAGGAAAGCTTGCAGCTTAAAATAAAATAAAAAGTTAAACGAAGACATCTGGGTTGAATGAGTTCCTTATTAGTGCAATTAATGAAGGGTGGGAGACGGAGAGGAGAATGCAGGAGAAGAAAACAGAGACAATTAACCTACTTAAGGGAGGAGACAGGATCAATCCTAGTCAAATCAGGAAACTCCCACAGACACTGATGTACAGAGGTTCTGCACCCACCCCGTACTTGGTTAGGAGGGAGTCAGTCTTCCACGCTAAAGAAATAATTCATTCCAGCAGACGCTTAAAAAAAAAAAAAACCCTCGCAAAACCTTCCATTTTGGAATAAGCACCTTTGGAAACGCCCCCGCTAGAGGTGGTCGCGTTTGACGGCCTTTGCAAAGGCGATTCCGTCATTGCCACCGGTCTGAAGCCTCCCCGCAGAATCCCTCGGATTGGCCAGGCGGCAACTAACTTCAGGAGCCTCCAAGCAGAGCTAAGGCACAAAAGCGAAGATAGTCGAGGCGGCTGAGGAAAGCAAATCGCGGGAAAAATCCCGGCATTGTTCCAGTGGCTCCTCTACGTAGCGCGCTAGGCGCGCCTCACTTCGCCACTTACCTGCCGGTTGCAGCGAGAGGCCCCTCGCACCTCAGCCGCGGGTCTCCAAGAAACGAACTAGAGCCTCCTTGGTGTCTGTTTATAGGCTTTCGCAAGGAGGTGGAGCAATTCGGACGGCTTCTCCGACCGAGTCCCCGCCTCCTCCTGACGTTCGCCAGCTGCAGTAAAATAATCCTCTCGTGCTGTCTTTCGTGGTTGTAGTGGTTTTGGGTCGTCTTTTTTTTTTTTTTTTTGTTTGGCCGCGCGCGAGCTTCTGATGTCCCCTTCTGGAAGGCCATCCCACTTGCATTTCATCAGAAGAGTAGGCAAGCTTGGAATTTAATAATCTTAGGATTCAGAGTGAAGTAAACTTGAAATATGAAATCCCTGGCTAGCTAAGTAGAAACATTTCTAGATATTCTCTCAGCATCGGTTTATATTGATTGCTTCCTAGTATGATTTGATTGCTTATTTGTACCCTACGACTATCATTAAGTGTTGTACCTTATGATTCTTAACGAATGTATCTTTTCTTTTTATGTACACTGAGAGCATACAGTATGCACCAAAGACAAATTCCTTGTATGTCCAATCACACTTGGCCAATAAAGAATTCTAATCTAATCTAATCTAATCTAATCTAATCTAATCTAATCTAATCTAATCTAATCTAATCCCAATTAGGAATATATTTAATAAAGGCTATTTGGGATATACCGGTAAGCTTGTATTTAGCTTTGAACAGTGATGGAATATGGAGATTGCACTAATTATTAGAAAGCAATTACAGGGAAGGGAGATATAAACTTCTTAGTTGTATTTAGTTATGCCCATTGTGACAATCAGGTCCTGAACACAGATAGATCTTTGACTTAACCATTATGGCCTTTCTTTCTTTCATTTATTTTTTGGTGTATGTATAGCCTGCCTTGGAGGTGTATATGATATCAACCATTATTTTATTTCCATAGTCCTAAATCAGATTAAAGAAGTAAAGATCGGCCCACCTACTGAACATCATTATCACTAGTGAAGTGCCACTATGCCTTCATCTATCCACAATATGATATCCCCAGTTAAAAAATTTCTCATATCCTGGCTTGCTCCATGTCAGAAAATGCAAAGCCACTGTGGCATATTAACCAAGTTGTATGTCCTGCTACCCCACACCCACAAGAGGTATATCTTAATCTACATGAGAACCTATAAACTGCCATTTTGGTTTGCAGAACTGACACTGAAATCAAAGCTGTTCATTGATTGTTCAACTGGAACCGTTATACAATCTTGTGGCAGAGAACAACCTGCATTGGTTCACTTTATACAAATGTTAAGTGTGGCTCTTGACACATGGTTGTGAGGGCTGGGATGGCCTCCCTACACAGTAGAACCTCAGGTCACGACTATAATTCGTTGAATAACTTTGGTTGCAACCCAATTTGGTAGTGACCCGAACCTAATTTTGGAAATTTTGCGTTTACAAAAAAAATGGTGCAGAAGGGGAAATCGGCAGCAGGAAAAAAATGTGAATTTTTTGGTCGGAATCCGATTTGGTCGTGGTCAGAAGTGTTTGTGACCAGATGTATTTCCTTTGCCCCAAGTAAACTTTTCTAGTTAAATGGGAGTTCAGGGTGGCTGCCCCATACCTCATTCTTGGCCTTAAGCTTTATAAAAGATTTTTTTTAAGTTATAATTAAAGCACAGAACTTTCATTGTGGTCTTTGGAAAATGGCAACTATTAACAAGATTATTTTTCTCTCCCTGAGAAAAATTTTGCCTTATTATTTTGCAAGCCTTTTGCTAATTATAATTTAATCTAGTTTTGTGAAACATAAGTCTCTATCCATACTGGATTAAAGATTTGCAACAGAGAACCGGTTTTATATTCTTCCTTGAACATACATTCAGAAAACTACTTTCCTATATCAAAGCTGCCTTATTAATTAGACTAAAAAGCATTAATTCAGTTTGCAAGGGGAGTGCCAGTTGAACTTTTGAGGATCAATGTTTGTATCAGCTGAGTAGTACTTCGAAACACAAGGCTCTCTTTGTTTTGTTTTGTCATTTAGGCATAACTTCCAAATAACACTGTAATAGAAAACCATTGTTTTGATTTGAAGGTAGGCATATTTTCATGAATCATTCAATTGCTTTCTATTTTTTTGTTGTAAGTTTGAATTTTAAAGTCCCAAATATGCATAGTATATACACAATTGCATACTTTATAGTTAGCCTGTATAAAATTAATATTAAAAAATTAATATTGTATAATTCAAAGGTCCAAAATGAAGCTATTCATTAGTAATCAACAGCCATGGTCAATAGGAACCAGTGTAAGGACCAGAGCCTTAAAACAAGAAGCTTTTTAAAAAGAAATGTTGGAAATTAGTGAGTAGGTCTTACTTATGAATAAGGTTTATAGAAGTTTGTTGACAATAAGAAAGGGCATTGCTCTTTAATATAAGTCAGCATTCTTAAACATGGTACTGAATTAGATTTCTTCCTTTCAAAATTCCTGTCCATCAGAGCTATTTGCCATACATTCTACAGATTGTGAATATTGAAAATCCTACATTTGTGCTGGGTACTAGTTTGGGGAAGATTGATGTAGACTGGGTTCACATATCTTACTGAGTTATAATATTGTTTGTTTGATTTGGGCCTAGTCTCAGTATTTATAAATGATGATTTATCAAAGCTATAGATATTGGACTACAACTAGGAAAACTCAGGTTTAGGGCAAGAAGCTAATAATGTTTTTGGGACAGTCATTATCTCTAATCCAAACATCTCACAGGGTTTCTGATGGAAAAAAATTAGAGGAAGAAGTGTTAGGTTTACTTTACTTCCAGAGTAAAAGTGGTGTAAGAAAAAAAAATGATATGTGAACTTAATCCATTAGTTTATTCTCTATATAACAATTTCAGTGTGGTTTTAAAGTTCAACAATTAATGTGATGTTGTGATTGTAAGGTACTTGTATTGCACAGTCTTTGATTAACTTACTGTATATCTAATTACTTAAAAATTGTGCTAAAATTTCTGCAGTGGAAATGTATAATAATAAATTTGAAGAATTTTAAATTGGCATTGGCTCCAGATTGTCTTACAGTTTTGCTTACATTAATATGGCACTCCTTATGTGTATTTAATTTCCTCCATGAACTATTATGTATGATAACAGTGTCTAATGAGTTTAAAGGTACTCTTAATATAACCTTAAAAGTGAGTGATTACATAATGTCTAGTCAGCAAAGTCTACAGTGTTATTATGAAAGTGGTTGTTCATTTGATAGGTGAACATAGAAGTTTTTTTTAAAAAAAATCTTTAAGCAATTACAAAAACCACAATCAGAAACATAAGATCTCTTTTTTGAAACGTGTTTCTTTTACTCATAGTTATGAGTATATGGAGGTGTTAAGCAGATGTATCTAAAGCAAGAAGAACAAAGTACACAGTTTCAATGTAGTCCTAAATGTAATTAATGAAAATGTGTAATGCAAACCACTGATTGCTGATGCTTGTTTTCCTGGTCATGAGTATGTCATGCTATATTTTTCCAAGGAAACCTGAGCCAAGATAGACCTTTTTATTTTTTCCCATTTCTATGCTGTTTTAATGGGCTACTCAGATTCTTCTTTTCTAGCTTTCTGAATAATACCACATGAAAGTGCTGTGTTGTTGCAGCCAACTAGAGCTGCAGGTATAATTGAGCGGAAAAGAGATGTGGCTGTTCACCACCACTAAAAAAACTGACCTAAAGATATAATCAATGGAGAAGGAATAGAAGAAGAGAGAGGCTAGAAACAGAAGGGAACAAACAAACCTTTGCTAGACAGTTTTTTAAAAGGCCAGATAAAAAAATTGGGATGAATCTATGAAGAGATTCATCATTCTTAGATAATAATAATAAACTTTCCTCATGCGCCAGAATGAAGGCTATCACAATTGAAGTCCCATCATCTACTGTATATATCATCCCAAATTAATGTTTACCTCAGGCAAGACTTTTTTGCCCTAAACACCTGTGGAACTTTTTCAAATCATTACCCCACATAAGTGATTCAGTTTTTATAGTGTCTGTAATTGCATCATTCTCCTTGCCTCCACTACAGTACGGAGAGAACAGTTTTGTACCTTGAGGGCTACTTGTTAAAATACAGCCTTGGTAATAGTCCCCTCTCCCTGAAGGAGTTGTTTAGTAGAAGTATGACAAAGACACTAAGAATTTCTTAAATACTGATGGCAATCTGTTATCAACATTTGCTCAGTAATTGTCCCCAGCAATGTCACTTATAAAAAACATGGTTATGTAACACATATTCATGTCACACAATAACAGCATCTTCAGACAGACAGAGCATAGACTAAATTTCTCTTCAACTGGAAAAACTATGTATAGAAAAGTAAAGTCAAACTGTGCCTGAATTCTGACTTGACTTAGAATGTTTAAACCAGTGGTGAAATCCAATTTTTTTTACTACCAGTTCTGTGGGCATGGCTTGGTGGGCGTTGTATGGCTTGGTGGGCATAGCTTAGTGGGCGTAGCAGGGGAAGGATATTGCAAAATTTCCATTCCCTCCCCATTCCTGGGGGAAGGATATTGCAAAATCTCCATTCCCACCCCACTCTGGGGCCAGCCAGAGGTGGTATTTGCCGGTTCTCCAAACTACTCAAAATTTCCACTACTGGTTCTCCGAACTGCTCAAAATTTTCGCTACCGGTTCTCCAGAACCTGTCAAAACTTGCTGGATTTCACCCCTGGTTTAAACTGAATCAGACAAAAAAAAATAGTGGTGTTACATGCCAAGAAGCCCTGGATTAGTGTTGAAAGAGAACAATTTAAAACATGGAATTCTTTGCCATAGGCTATGCTTATTATCTACCTGTCAATCTAATTGTACTTGGTGTGGCCTTTTGCAGAATACAAGTCCCTGTTCCTGAGAACTTTTAGTTTTGTCTTCTGATAGCTTACAAAGCTAATATAAGCAGTGTTCGCTTAGCAGTAATAATAGCAACAACACTTAGACCTTTATCCCGCCCCATGGTGCTTTACAGCACTCTCTGGGCAGTTTACAATGTAAGCATATTACCCACAACAATCTGAATCCTCATTTTAC